AGACATGACAGCTGATACATATATCTGTGTCAACACTTTATTATTCTAGACTCAGTTAGATATATAGTAATATGTATTCCTACTTGTATTCATCTGATGAGTAAACCTTTTTCAACTGATTTGCATAGTTTGTTCTTATGTTGTACTGTTACACCACTGTTAGACGAGGGTAATTGCCTTCAAACTTATTAAACCCAGCCACATTCTGTATGTGCCTGTCCCAAGTCAGGAGCCTGTAATTCAGTAGTTGTCGTGTGTTGCTGTGTAACACATTTGTTCTTCATTCATTATTTTGTACATAAATAAGGCTGTTAGTTTTTTCGTTTGAATTGTTTTGCATTTTTCATTTCGGGGCATTTTATAGCTGAATTTGCGGTATGGGCTTTGCTCATTGTTGAAGGCCTAACGATGACCTGAAGTTGTTAATTTCTGTGTCAATTGGTCTCTTGTGGAGAGTTGTCTCATTGGCAATCATATCAAATCTTCTTGTTTTTATATTTACACTAGCTAGATTTTTTTTTGCGGTGGACATTGGAAGGTAAATACTGTGCAATATTGATTGGAAAACCAAAAACTATCGACGCGCATGGGAAATTGAACATCGTGTATGCTTCTTTATAAGCGTTCGACTGGTTAGATATGTATGTATATCATATTTATGAAAGTTCTGTGATAGTCTGTCTGTACAATCGAACCTATCGAACCTGTCATGACTAATGTCGATGTTTCTACTCTGTTTGGATGTATTGTGTCATATCATCGTATTCGTTTCATATAAAAAAAGAATCGCATTTCTACTAGAAAAATATTGCATTGGAAAAGTTTTTTTTATGATAAACGCTATTCTATAAGAAAAACGTCCCATCCATATAAGAACATATATAACAGTTTTATCCTATTACAAGTAATTATGACATAGAATGCAATCGGATAAGTTCAATGGCCATTCCACTGTCTTTGGTACATCATTGTCAAAGTATTTGGACACTTCATAATTATAGATTTTGCAAATAGATTTTGTAATGCAAATGCATATTTACTCGTAAATATGCAACATACTTAGGATAAAATGTTCAAAATTCATGGCAAGTTGTATATACGTTTGTCCTAGGCTTTTTAAATACGTCTATGTTTTCAAAAGAATAAACAAGTTCTTTCCGATAAATTTCTTTTATTTCTACCAATGTCAACATACGTATGTGATTTCCCAATAATGCATCTCATTTACAAATGAAAGTATCGCTACTCCACATAAGAAACGGTTTTCTTGATTCGCACTTTCTATAGACTGATACACATTATTCCTTTTAACTAAAATGGTGTATCCATCGGTAAGAAACTTAATATAAGTTAATACTTTATAGATATTTGTAGAAAAAACTTTTCATTCCAAATGTAAACATACGGCAGAATGCGAGACAACATTGTTCTGTGTATATGGAACCTGTCAATGTGCACAACTGCACTACTGGAATGGAAATATCTGTGTTACTAGTAAGTTTAAAATACCACGATTCCAAACACATAAACGATATGAACTAATATCTTCAGTTTGTTCCTATGGTATTCTGCATGAGCAATATTCCATGTTAGGCATAGGAATGAGTACACACAGACATGTTTAGCCCCGCCCTCAATCTTGTTTACCCTTTTGTTATGGTTTCTTTTTGTCTGTTCAAGGATTTTTGGTAATTTGTTTACTATAGACTTGACAGTTGGTTTGCTCTTCGTCATCTGTCAAGTTTTGTTATCCTTGAACTTTCAATAGTTTACTGTTCTTAATGAATGATAATGGCCGATAAAGGACATTATTTTTATTTGAATATTAAACACTTATATTTAAAAATAGAAGTCATGAAAAAGAAGTCAAGCAGGTTTATTTTCCAGAAAGATTTATTTATAAAAATGTTTGCATTTAGTCATAGGATTCAAATGCAAAATAACATTTTGTAAATTTGGTGCGCGCAAAGCTCCAGCATAATGGAGGCTCAACCCTTTAAAATGATGGACCTCGGTGGTTGAGTGGTCTAAGTAGTTTATTTGCACTGATTAACCACCATCACCAATAAAATAAAATGACCGTCATGATGTAGCGAAACGTGCTGATTATGACTTTAGACACGCTATTGAGATATGAATATGCGAACATATGAGTAACTACTTGCCCGTATTTGACCAAAAATGAATAGCAGAATTCATCAAATAAAAATGTGACAATAACGAAGATGTTTAGTAAAACCAAGACACAACAGTTGGCCGCGATTATAAATGGAAATCAATTTGTTTGTTTAAAACAGAATCTACTTAATTAATATTTTTTCTCAACATCAAACAAATTGGTTAAAACGTGATCAAATTTTTCAAAGGGTCATGAATATTATTTTTTAGAAAAGATATCTAATGACACTTGTCAGAATTCAAACGAATGTGGAGGAAAACTTGTGTGCGAAGATGGAGTATGCCAATGTCTTGTTGATTTATTTTGGAATGGAAACCAATGTATATTTAGTAAGTAATATACTTATTTCCGGACTTGATATCGTCTTACCTTAATTTCAGACCACTTGTAAAGTTAAAGATGAAAACATTCAGTACACCAACTCCATCAAAAGATTTGAGCTAAACTTAAAATGTTTGCTTGTTGCTAATTGAATTGGACTGTACGCCAATTTTTTAAAAGTGTCTTTCCTCAGTTTTTAGTTCGTGCAATCAACATAAAATTACAGGAAAACTGAAATTTTTGGTACAAAACATTTCCTTTTAATTTTTGCTATCTGATAAGGGACTTTCTGTTTTGAATTTTCCTTGGAGTTCGGTATTTTTGCTATTTTACCTTTTAAGAAAAAAGATGCGAAAGATACCAAAAGGGCATTCAATTTGATAAGTCAAAACGTAACTGACCGAACAATACGAACAATTCTCATTTAAATTGATATTCTGTCAAAATGCGGTTAATGTCCAAATTCTTGTATTTATAGATTCTACTACTACATCGAGGGAAATATTACTATGTTTATTTACATTTGATAACTTCTTTTATATTAACAATTTCAACTTGGAGGGTTTGAACATATCATATCCCTAGAAATACATAGGTCAAATGATTGTTTTGCTGATTTTAAATTAAGCAAAATCTTAACGTTTTCTGTACACACGTTGTAGTTTTTTTAACACCATCAAGTATGTTTATAAAAATACAACACTTCTCAATATTTTCACGTGTTGTAAGTTGCAAACAGTCAAGACAAACAAATTAAGTTCGATTAGCTCTATAACAGGATATACGTATGTAATGCCGTTAATCTGTATTATTATTTCACATCTCTGAATGATTTAAAGTTTTTTTTTAATCACGAGCCTTTAAAAGTTGACATGACAGTGATTATTTCATTGCAGAAAAAATAAATGGACACTCATGTGGTTCCTATATTGAATGTGCAGAAAATCTGGAATGTAGGGAACATCTTTGTCAGTGTTCAGAATCTGAGTACTTGGACAACTCCAAATGTTATCCAAGTAAGATATTCATTGATATGTCAATATACCGTGATTGAACACCTATGTACTAGACCGCAAAGTATATAATAAATGCTTTTTATTTTTACGATTTGAAAAATATTTTTGTTTTTTTTATACTCGCATACTTAGTGCTTTAAAATAACTATTTGCAATTGCAATGCAAATAGTATAATTTGCCAAATATGTTGTATTTTGCCATGACTCTTGAATGAAATTATCTTTTTCGTTAACTTTTTGGCGTTTTTTTACTGATTAGATGGATATCCGTTCATTAATTTAACGTAAATAAAAATAACAGCAAAAGTGAATAGTTTCTTTCCAAAATTATATATTACAGATATAAATTCAATTTTTCTCACGATAAACAGGCATATTACAATATAAATTATGTAAATCATTGACCGCTCCCGACATGTGTAACTTCAAAGCATATTTTAGCGGCTTTCGATGTCTTTCAAAATTACTGCACTTTTCTTGTATCCCTGGTGCTTTCGGCTAGAGAACCGTCGTACACAAGCATCACACAAGTTGGCACTCCGAGGCGGGTGGGGAGCAGGAAGGGGAACTGTGGTTTATTTTTATCAATAGTACCGCTTAAGTCGACGCTAGGGGCTGTCTTGACCTTGTTGTAGGTTATGAATGATTCGTTCATTGTTGAAGACCCTACATCAAATGTCAATATGAAGAACAGGAATAAGAGCCCTGTTCATTGATATTTTTTTCATTTTTTCTATATATTGTGTGCGATTTTGTCCCATGTACATTATTCCATATCCTTTTATTTTCTACGTAAAGTCTTCTACAAGAATAAAGAGAAGATGTAGAATGATCGCCAATGAGACAAATATCCGCCAGAGACTAAATTGTGTGGTTGTACGCAATTATAGGTCGCCGTATGGCCTTCAACAATTACCAAGTCCCATTGAATATAGAAAACTATAAAAAGCCTAGATATGACATAATTAAAAAAAAAAGGAGAACACTTTATATATGTTGATTATTGAATCAAAAGAAATGACAGACAGCAGCACAAGACAGCAACTGAATTCATAGTTCATAATTTGAGAAAAAAAATAAAAACAAAACGTGATGCGTTCGAAGCGCTTTTTCGATTAACCTTCATCAGGAACAGTCAGAGCCGAATATTCAAAAGCCAGACAAAACTTCTTCTGAGCGTTTAACCCTCCTAACAACCTGAGACAGTGGTGTGACAGCTCAACATAAGAACAAATTGAAACATCAGTTGAAAAGGTTTTGACTCATTAGATAAACACGAAGTACAAAACACTAACACTTAGACAACATACAAAATGTACTGATCTTAGAGTACATCACAACGAGTCAGAGAAAAACATGACTTCGTTGAATGCTAAAATGTATAAGTTCGATAGGGTGTTAGAACACAAGTGTTAACTATGATTCTAGTTACGTACTAAATATGTTTTTTAGGAAAATCTGTAAACAATGTATGTACCAAAGAGGAGGAATGTGAAACCAATTTATATTGTGCTAGAAGCGTATGTCAGTGTGCTTCTTCCGATTACTGGACAGGATCAACGTGTTCCATAAGTATGAATTTATTGTCCTACATATTTTATGGTAAATTGGAAAGTCTTCCGGGAATTCCATTTATGAAATACAACTAACATCAATTTAAAGTAAACGTCATGATTTATTTCATATTGTCTTTTTCAAACTTTATATTAAAAAGGACCAGAAAACGTTTAAATAATGGAATTGTATGCGACTGTCATACAAGTGAGAGGTTTAGCTAGCTATTAAACCAGGTTTAATCCACCATTGTCTACATAAGGAAATGCCTGTAACAAGTGAGGGATATGACAGTTGTTTTCTATTCGTTTGAGCTTTTGATTTTGACATTTTATAACAGACTTTCAGATTTGAATTTTCCTTGGAGTTCGGTAGTTTTGTTATTTTACTTTTTAGTACTGATGAATTCCAACTATACAGTCCGCCAAAAGTTAAGCACCACCTATTTTTATTGCATCGAAATTTGTTTCATTTAAAAAAATCAGTTAATCCTCGAAAAAGAGAAAATATTCATGTAGCAATTTTGCTAACATATACCATAAACAAACCGTAGACTTAAGTTTGTTCACCTATGCAGGTTCTATGCATTTGAAATTTGCGTTCATAGAAATAGTGAAAATTACACAAATCAGAAACGGAATTTAAGTTTCACTGTGATTTTATTTTTATACAACAATTAATCACCCAATATCATTAAAATCTCTACAAATAATTTTTAGTATGTTCGGCAAATTTAATGTCAATATTTGAGTCAATATAGGATGTGTAACACCCTCTCTTCCGGTACAGTTCCATAACACGGAGTCTCATACTCTGTACAAGCCTTCTGAAGTTTAGTTGAGCAAATTTATTACATTCAGCAACAATTGCGCTTCTTCAATCGCTAAGATTTGCAAAGGTGGATCTCTGCGATTGAGATTTCTGCCAAATACATCCCAGACATGTTCGATAGGGTTCATGTCTGGAGACATGGGAGGCCAAAAGATAGTGTCAATGGCTTCTTGCTCTTTGTATTCTTTGTACTCGGTTACAATCCCTGCCCTGTGTGGTCTAGCATTGTCGAACATGCACAAGGGTCTTGAAGCAAGTGGAGAATTATCAAAATGAGGGACTACAATGTTTCTAAGCACCAAATCCCTGTATGTCTGTCCGTTCATGTTACCCTGCAGAATATGCATACCCACCTTACAACAGTATGAGAAGAAACCCCATACTGTAACACCACCAGCAACGTATGCAGCCGTTGGGCAAATTTTGTTTGGTCATTAGCAGTTTTATTTCCACGACCAACTCGTATTCTGCCGTCTATTGGTCGTAACAGAAACTTACTCTCATTTAAGCAATGAACATTTTGCCAGCTTCTCATGTTCCAGCGTCGATGGTCATTAGCCCTTTGAAACCTGATTATACGGTGCCTGGCTGTTAGGGCAGGTCTCTTGACAACACGACGTGCTCTTATGTAGCCTCTATGAAGTCCACGGACCAATGTTCGAACACTAACATGACCACCTTGACGCCAGTGGTGTCTAAGTTGTGGGGCAGGAGTAAATGGGTTGGCTTTAGCACAACCAATAAAGAGTCTGTCATCACGATCGGTAGTTTAACGGGGTCTTCCGGACCTTGGTCTATCATTTACAGTTCCTGTGTCAACATGACGTTGTACAAATCTGACAATGACGGTGTGTTTAACATTGAAATGGTTACCTATGCAACTAGTGCTCCTACTGGCATTTGACATGTCAGTTGCTTGTCAAGGTTCAGTCACATATAACTTACCTCTTGCCATATTTCACAGTGACTTGGTGAAGGTCAAATTTAACCTGTACGCGGGACAGTAGGACGATGATTTAAAGGCATCGAAACAGTGTATTCGAAAAAGTGTAGATGACCTTTAATAAAAAATTTCTTGGTGTGTTTATCGGAGTTTATTTTTTTTTGGTCGTAATGAATTTTCTTAGTGTATGTTATAGGCAATTTATAACACCAAACATAAATATTTTTTTCGCAATAGTTAAAAAACTATTGCCAGTTATATTTAGGTGGTGCTTAACTTTTGACGGACTTTATATATAAACGGTTATTAGCGTTGTGCGTTGGTCAATTTTGTGTCTGCATCCCAACGTAGTGTATTCCCAAAAGTATTGTTATTCAATATATTATTGTATATATTAATGTCTCTATACAGCACGACATCATAAACTGGATCCCGAAAATGCTTGGTAGAATTTCGTTCGGTGTACACGTTAATGACAAAGCACCCTAACGCCATAAAGTAATTTTGGAAAAATATTTCTTTCCAGTTTGTTGGTATTTACCGCAATTTTAAGTGTACTTTGCTATATGAAGGATCCCTGTTTATAATTGTCGGACGTAACCGGACTACTCAAAGTTAACCACCGATCTCATGCAGGAACACTACCAACCCTTATCAATAGCGATTGGCGTCGAAACACCTTGCCACGAACAGGGTTCTAGAATTTATAAAATATGAGCAGGAATAATTACATATATATATATAGCAGAGAAACATATTAAACCAAATTTGAATAAGAATTTAAAAATATATATATACTTTGATTGTGAATTTGGAGGTTATAATTGTAAATTGAAAATTCATGACTAGCAATTTAAAACAAAATGGAAAACAGTTCAATAAATGTACGTATGATAAAATGGAATTGGAAGTACGAAATGCAAACAATAATACTAAAACAAAGTGATACAATGCATATTGGGCCACTGTTGATGTACTTAATAAAACTTCAGATATTTATGATTTGAAAATTTATAATGCACTTCCAGAAAAAGAAGAGAATGCCCTCTGTAATTCATCACTTGAATGTAAAGCAACGCTCCAGTGCAGAACAAATCACTGTGTTTGCTGTCAACAGGACTTCTGGAATGGACAGCTGTGTGAGAGGAGTAAGGGTCATAGTAGTTAAAATCAAATTATAACTTCATATCCGTTATAATAATCCTTTCAGGGATGGCATGACTATATATTTAAATCACGAAACTAATACTGATATTTAACTAGCTTGTGTAAAAATACAACTGAATTGAAAAAAACACACAAACGTAAGTCGACATTTTGCAAAGCAATTACAGCACATACATTAAAACAGAAAGATTCTTGTATTCGTTTATGTTTTATTTTTTTTTTATTTTAAACTGTTACTTAAGGATATGACAAACATTCGTTTTCATTTTTGTTTTAATGGTTTATTTTGATTTCAAAGGATTTTTTTTTCAAATATCTTTTTGGTTTTGCATGTCTTCTACATAACAATGACTAAACTAATTTCAAAACATCAAACAATTTTAGATAGATGTTGTTCTTGTTTATTGTCTGAAAAATAAAACCACTTTGACAAACGATATTAGTTGTGTTAAAAGTTTAATGATGTCTACACTATGTGAAACATGATATGATTTTCTATGTTACGTCATACAATAATATTACAATGTAATTTTAAACTTTTATGTAGGGGACACGATAACAAAACGATAGTCATTTTTGTTTTCAAAAGGGCATTTCGTTTTCAGAGTATCGTTTTGTTTTCATAAAATCATTTTTGATAGAGATTATGGCCGCGCTTCAATTTATATTTACTCTTTCTGTATGTTATAAACTGCTGAAACTTTAGAATGCAAATGTATTTAGAGACATTTAATTTCATGAAATGCAGGACCTCGAATATGCACATTGTTAATGAACCAATAAATCATTCTCCCGTTTCTTTCTTTCTTTCATTGCAGAATACATTTTCGAACGAATTCAGTAAGGAAGGATGATAAATCCGGTATTCATACATTGTGTTTAGTAATCTAATTTATGTTTATCACGTTCAAAGCAGAACAAAAAAAAATGTTAAAAAGAATAAGAGATGAAACAAAGTTATATATCTCATTCATTGTCCTGCTTGATATTGTTACGTGCTCACCTAAACTATTAAGTCTGTTTTAGAAAGAAACATGACTTCACAATGCAAAGAATCGGCCCAATGTCAAGACACACTGCATTATAAAAGAAGGATCTGCCAATGTGATGTCATGGAATATTGGACACAAGCAGCATGTGCAAAAAGTAATTTATCATTGTATAATTTTAATAAGTGTCAGGAAGATTTGTAAACAAGTATATTTATACCAACTTTTTTAATAATTTAAAACAAAAAACAAGTACGAAACAAAACAAATTGAAAGGAAATTGTGTCGAAGGAACTGTTTAGTTGTACATGTATATATAATTTCACCAATCTTCGGTCATGTTAAAAGGTGCTCAATGGTATAGTGATTATGAAATTATGGAATGTAGTTTTCCCACTTGACGTCAGGAATTAAAAGATTTACATATTTTATAAACTCATGTGCACGTTTTTGGAAAATTCCAATAGACTGATAAAGCTCACAACATTTAGATGTATTGAACTATTCGGAATTACATGTACAAGAACAAGAAAATCAGAAATATCGAAAAAAAAAATATAAAAAAAATCAAATAAATCTAACCACATGAAATTCATTGTAAAACTTTAGAAGAATCAATATAAAAATCAAGTGCAAGGTATTTTGTTAACCTAGCAGAAATCTACCTAAAAGAAAAACATGAATAATCTACAGTTGGGTGCAGACCAAGCATAACATAAAGTAAACGCACGTTAACGCCGCGTGAACACATTTCATTTGTTATCTCCAATATTCACGTTTACCAGTAAACGCGCGTTTACTACAAATGCGTTAACGCGGTCAAAGTGGAGATTTCTAATGCCTACTCCGGTAATCGCGCGTTTACCCTGCGCCCGTTTAGTCAGTAGTAAACGGGCGTTTACTACAGATTTTACATCTTTACCTGTACGTGCACTTAGAAAACACGCGTTTACTATTCCCGTTTACTATTTATGGAAATTATAAATATACTTTTTTTCTGGCTTATTCATATATAGCAAATGATAAATAAATAAAGTATCGCTAAAAAACATTTTCAGAAATTATTGGATAAGTAATTACTGCAAAACTTCAAAAAAAGAAAGTTTAATATGTTTACAACAATATTCATTACGGTAGATTTAGCTAGGCAATGTTTCAAGACTTGAAATAAAACAGATGACATAAAATGATCTATGAAACTTTGTTTTCAGGCAATATACTAATTTCAAAATATTTGCCGTAGTTCATGGTTTACTGAGTTTATAGAAATGATTTAGTTGATCGACATTTATATATACGATGTATAATGTCAATGTTATTAAACCTGTGCAGACATAAAGAATTCTTTTTTATAAAAAAAATCGTCGAAATAATTCCTTCTCTTTTATGTCAAACAATCCATCCTAAGGTATAAAAAGGGAATTTATCCCGCCAGTTCAATAGTACAAACTTTAATTATATATAAAGAAATACTGGCAATTTTTAATGTTATGATTTCACATGTAATTAACCGTACACTTAAAGAGCTCTCAATTTGTGTAAAAATGTCCCTCACTATGTACCAAAACAAACAGAATTTTAATTGCTGTAACAGAATAGTTTTGCAAAAGTTAAAATACTGACACCTTAAATTGATGCGACAACAAATTTTGAATTTTTAAAATTTATTTTCTTCACTTTTATGTCTAACAAACTATTCGGAGTTAGAAAAAGTACTCAATTATCAGGCCAGTACAAGAATATTAATAAAAAAAGTATATTGTCATTTTTTATTGTTATCGACATTAATATTAGTAACCATAGACTTATAGAGCCCTAAATTTGTGTAAAACTATAATCCTTAGGGACAAAAAGAACAGAATTTTAATGCCGTTGTATAATATTCTAACAAATTGGAAGATATTGACACTTTTTTTGATGCGACAACAAATTTTGCAATTTTAAACTTAAATTTCTTCACTTTTATGTCTAAGAATCCATCCTGAGGTATAAAAATCACTCAATTATCAGGCTAGTACATGAATGTTAATAAAAAAAAGAAATATAGTCACTTTTTACTGTTATCGACATAAATATTAGTTACCGTAGACTTACAGAGCTCTCAATTTGTATAAAACTATCCATCCTTCGGGACAAAAAGAACAAAATTTAAATGCCGTTGTATAATATTCTAACACAAAAGTAAAAAATTGACACTTTTTTTTGATGTGATAACAAATATTGCAATTTTAAACTTAAATTTCTCCACTTTTATGTCTAACAATCCATCCTGAGGTATAAAACTTTCTCAATTATCAGGCCAGTACAAGAATTTTAATAAAAAAAAGAAATATTGTCACTTTTTATTGTTATCGAGATAAATATTAGTAACCATAGACAGATAGAGCTCTCAATTTGTGTAAAACTATCATCCTTAGGGACAAAAAGAACCGAATTCTAATGCCGTTATATAATATTCTAACAAAATCGAAAATATTGACACTTTTTTTGATGTGAAAATAAATTTTGCAATTTTAAACTCAAGTTTCTTCACTTTTATGTCTAACAATCCATCCTGAGGTATAAAAAGTACTCAATTTTCAGGCCAGTACAAGAATATTAATAAAAAAAAAAATATTGTCATTTTTTATTGTTATCGACATTAATATTAGTAACCGTAGATTTATAGAGCTCTCAATTTGTGTAAAACTATAATTCTTAGGGACAAAAAGAACAGAATTTTAATGCCATTGTATAATATTCTACTGCAAAATGGTAAATATTGACACTTTTTTTGATGTGATAAACAAATTTTGCAATTTTAAACTTAAATTTCTTCACTTTTATGTCTAAGAATCCATCCTGAGGTATAAAAAGCACTCAATTATCAGGCTAGTACAAGAATGTTAATCAAAAAAAGAAATATAGTCACTTTTTATGTCATTGACATAAATATTAGTTACCGTAGACTTACAGAGCTCTCAATTTGTATAAAACTATCCATCCTTCTGGATAAAAAGAATAGAATTTTAATGCTGTTGTATAATATTCTAATGCAAAAGAAAAAAATTGACACTTTTTTTGATGGGATAACAAATTTTGCAATTTTAAACTTAAATTTCTCCACTTTTATGTCTAACAATCCATCCTGAGGTATAAAACGTTCTCAATTATCAGGCCAGTACAAGAATATTAATAAAAAAAAGAAATATTGTCACTTTTTATTGTTATCGAGATAAATATTAGTAACCGTAGACTGATTAAGCTCTCAATTTGCGTAAAATTATCATCCTTATTGACAAAAAGAACAGAATTTTAATGCCGTTGTATAATATTCTAACAAAATGGAAAATATTAACCCTTTTTTTGATGTGAAAACAAATTTTGCAATTTTAAACTTAAATTTCTTCACTTTTATGTCTAACAATCCATCCTGAGGTATAAAAAGTACTCAATTATCAGGCCAGTACAAGAATATTATTAAAAAAAAAAATATTGTCATTTTTTATTGTTATCGACATTAATATTAGTAACCGTAGATTTATAGAGCTCTCAATTTGTGTAAATCTATAATCCTTAAGGACAAAAAGAACAGAATTTTAATGCTGTTGTATAATATTCTACTGCAAAATTGTAAATATTGACACTTTTTTTGATGTGATAAACAAATTTTGCAATTTTAAACTTAAATTTCTTCACTTTTATGTCTAAGAATCCATCCTGAGGTATAAAAAGCACTCAATTATCAGGCTAGTACAAGAATGTTAATCAAAAAAAGAAATATAGTCACTTTTTATGTCATTGACATAAATATTAGTTACCGTAGACTTACAGAGCTCTCAATTTGTATAAAACTATCCATCCTTCTGGATAAAAAGAACAGAATTTTAATGCTGTTGTATAATATTCTAACGCAAAAGAAAAAAATTGACACTTTTTTTGATGGGATAACAAATTTTGCAATTTTAAACTTAAATTTCTCCACTTTTATGTCTAACAATCCTTCCTGAG